CCAAAATCTACTTACATGGCACATCAGGGACTGTAATCTGACTGTAAAATCAAGGTACGGGTTTTCAGGGCACACGATTCCAGAGGCATTTTGGAGATGCTTGCATAGTACGTGTTGCTGGCCTGGTTTATGTTTTTAGTATATGTTTGGGAGGTAGTCAAAGTCTTTATTGTCACAGAGTAGTTAACATGTCAGACAGAGCTCCTGGGGGCCACCAGGTGTATGCAAGCCAACACACCATCCATCTCACCTAGGAAGCCCTATACACATCAGCCAATGTGCTGTAATGAAATGACTTCTGGAATTCCTTAATATTTTATTAATTCCAGAATGGTAATAGTCATTGTTAACTGAATCTTAAATAATATGTCCATCTCTTTATTGGTATATGTCTATTGCCTTTATGCCTTTGTTGTCACAGAAATGATAATATTTCTTATTATGTTCATAGTGACTGTAGTTACTTGCACTGGGGCAGAGTAGTTGAAGACAAACAGTCACACAGTTGTGTGTTTATTTGGCTTCTCTTGCCACTGGCATGGGGCAGACTTGCTCAGTAGTGACCCTGTTGAACTTTCAAAGTTTTTTTTTTCATGCTGGTGGCGTAAAATCTTTCTTCATAGCTGGAGACAGCCTTGAACATCTGTCTTAGTTCTTACAACAACCCTGCTGAGTCTACAGTGTGTGTTTGACCTTGCTCTTAATGTCTGGAATATGTATCCCAGAGTTGAGAGAAATGTTATTTTGATATTTCCTTTTTTTTTTTTTTTCCTGAAAGGATAGGCTCACTGGTAGCAAATGAAAAGTTTCACACTTCTAGAATGAAAGTTAAAAATTAATGTGCATCCACTGAATCCTAATGCCAGTCAGCACTTAGACAAAATATTCTGCAAAATCAATGGAAATTTTACTTCTGTTAGAGGATGAGCAGTCATTCAAGTGCAAGGTGAACATAGGGCAAAACTAAGGAAGAATCTTTTTAGATGATTTATAGCTTTACTAAAGCACAGAGATGAAACCTGAAAGTAAAATAGAAAATGAGATACCCACAAGTAACCTGGTTCTTGATAATACTGATGTTAACCTTTGACTTTAAATAACATGTATGTAAAATATTGTTAAGTTTAGACATGCTCATTAACAGTAGCAAACAAATCGGGTGTGTGGAAATCTCTGTCCTACTGGGATTTCACGAGCTCTTTAAAAATCTGCTAAAGACAAGCTGTTGGTGGTGATCACTTTCTCACCCTCATGGTTAGATGAACTTGAAGGTTTTTGGGGGTTAATTACAACAGACTCCTAACCTGCAGACATTTTTCTGCAGGCATTTTTTGCTCTGTCTGTCCCAGCACATAGGCTGTGCACCAGGCATGTGCCCTAAACCAGGACACCTACCCAGAAACTGCCCCTTTGTCCTTCATCCAGTGTCTCCAGCAGTTGGTCATAGTCTGGATGGGTGTGTCAACTCTGCCAAGGTGTCTTTATTGGACAGCAAAATATCATAATTAAGGTAGGAGCTGAGCAGAAGTGAATGGATAGCTAGATGGACCAGCTCCATGCTTTCATTTAAATAAGGATTTGTTATCTGTCTTTCTCAAAGATGGAGCTCTCGCAGGAGTGTTAGAAAGTGCTGTTTCATCTCCCTCTCTCTTCTGTCTCTTGAGAAAACTGCTTAGACAAGATGAAACCTCAGTCCACACCACCTGCTGAGCTGATGCTTCAGAGCCTTTTGGTTTATCTTGCACATATGAGGTGGCAGCAGGAGATACAGTATTTCTATTTGTCTACAAGTCGGAAAGTGAATATTTTCTTTGTAGACAATAGATTTCTTACAAAATCTGTTACCTCCAGAAAACTCTGAGCTGCAGCAGCCTCCTCTGATTAAGGTTTCAGGTTAACTATTGCTCAAGGATTTATTTGCCTACATCTTGAATAGCATTTCTCACAGGAAGCAGATGTCACTTGTACTTTATTGGTCTGTGCTGGCTTCCAATTCAGGTTTGGTTTTACTGGAATAACTGGGGGGTTTTGCTCCTGACCTGGAGCATTCGGGCTGCCTGGGAGATATCATACAAGGAAATGTGAGCTAAAAGATGTAGATGCAGTTGAGAAATGGAAGAGGAAAGGTGTTCACTGTGCAGTTCCCATCCTAGCGTAGGTTGTCCAAAGCCAATCTTCTTACTCTCCAGAGTTATTTTTTCTATTAATTTTTGGTATTTTTGTTGAACTTTTGTTGCACTCATTTTTTTTTCCTACCCATCTCTAGTCCATGCAATTTAAAGTACTGGCTGCATCAGCTGCTTTGAAAACAGGTATTCTGAATGCTTTGTGAGTCTTGAATTACAATGACTGAGAGTTTTAAGAAAGTAGAAATATTGTGTGTGTTTTAACATTTAGTAAGTGCCCAGTGAATTATCTCTCTAAGTTCTTTAGGGCAGGTAGAATTATTCTTACTTTAAATGGTACAGGTTGTTTGTTTCAGACTGTTTTTGAATTTGCACTTGCATGAAACTCAAGCTTGGGAGAACCTATCTGGGACAGCAGCAAGTTAGAAAATAGTTTGGTGTTAAAAAGCAGCATTCCAGCTGGAAGCAGGAGTAGCACTGAGGTGAAGAGACAGGTGGAACTAGTCTTAGTTTGCGCAGAAGGGCCAGTGCAAAAAGTAAGGCAGGAGCTATAAACAAAAGGCTAGAGTGAGAAAATATTTTACATTATCCATGGCATTTTGCATTTATGAAGATACCTATACAAGAGGCTACAAAGGCAACATCTCAATAGCGTGCTAAGCTTGAGCTTTGATTCAATCTGTCAGTGAAGCAAAACTCCATGGCAGCTCTGCAGAGCCATAGCTTATATGAGTATTAAATGCAGCAGCAAGATTGCAAGAATGGACCTGTGCCCACCATGTGTTGGAGTATTGCTTTATCTTCACAGAATCATAGAATAGCTTGGGTTGAAAGACACTTTAAAGATTATCTAGGTACAATTTCCCTGCTGTGTGCAGGGGAACCTTTCACTAGACCAAGTTGCTCCATGCCCCATCCAACCTGACCTTAAACACTTGCAGGAATGGAGTACCCACCACTTCTCCTGGCAACCTGTTCCAGTGTCTCGCCACCCTCTCAGTAAAGACTTTCTTCCTAAAGTCTAATCTAATCTAACCCAATCTAAGCCTACTCTCAGTTTAAAGCCATTTCTCCTTCTCCTATTGCTAGATGCTCTTCTAAACAGCCTCTCTCCGTCTTTTCTTGTAGGCTCCCTTCTGGTACTCAAAGGTTGCAATTAGGTCACCTTGAATCCTTCTCTTTTCCAGGCTGAACAGTCCCAGTTCCCTCAGCCTTTCCTCATTGTCTTCCATGGATAAATCCCTGATCCTGTCACCAGTCTGGCTGAGACATCCATGCCCTGCTTTCAGTTTTGCTGAATTGTCACCTAAGTTTGAACTTTGGCTTCTTGTAGCCTTTTTCCCTGGGTGAATCACAGCACAACTTCAGAGAGCCCATCTTTGTTTCTTTCCTTTCATTCTGCACCTGTGTCTCTTCTCACAGAGCTATTCCCTGAGCATACTAAGGAACATCACTAAAGAATTAATTTAGTTTTGTCAAGTTTCTGGTCTGACCCTTAATTTAGAGCAGTCGTTTCAGTCTACAATAAGGTCTGTGTTTCTGCATGCTGCAGTGAAAGAATTACGAGCAGTCCTCAGCCATGTGCACTCAGGATGCTTTGGTAGCCCCATGGGACAGGTAGACTTCAGTGCCTGAAAACTTATTATAGAACAGGGGTACAGTCAGTATGTTGTTTTCTGTGCAACAGTGGGTCTGCCTATATGTAAAAGCTTTTACATGATTCACTGAGGCCATTAGGAGTGGAGTGGTATGCCATCATTTCAGGCACGGAGCTCTTCAAAATGAACGGCTTTTTCCATCTCTCCCCAGGGAGCCCCGAGAGCCATTCAGCATGTAGGTTGGAGGAGACTGTTCGTAAGCCTTCAATCACAGCATCAGGAACACAAAGCTTATTGCTGGGATGAGCCTGCAGCTCTGAGTGATAAATAAGGCAAGACAGCTAGATGAAAAAACCTGACTTGCTGAGAAAAAGGTGGACTGATTTTTAAAGTTTGGCAACCTGGACCTCTCATAAGCATATGGAGCACATGTTGGTAGAGGGTCTAGAGCTAAACACAGTATTCTGAAGGCATGATGAAGTAATCAGGCAACAGAGCAGAATGAGAAATAAGATCTCTTTAACTGACTCAATTTTCAATATATTTTCTATGCTTTTGTCTTTGCCTCTGTTTATGACACACCAGGATATATCCAGTCTAGTTTGCTTTTTTTTTTCTTTCCTTTTGTTTTTTCCTCATTCATTCACAGAATTTCATGTACCCACTTGGTTTTCAGTCCTCTGAAGAAAGCAGACCTTCAGGGTTTGTATAGTTGGACTTGGAAGCTAACACAAATGTTCTTTTTTAAGTGATTTCGCCTCATTTGGCTTCTGAGGTCACAGACATAGGGGAAGAACACCTGCTCTCATCTTGCTTCAGCACTTAATCCCTGTCCCAGACAAGCCTAGAAGGGCACGACACAGGAGATGAAGAATAATACAAAAAATTGCTCAATAACTTTTTGGAACATCCAGAAATGTTCATGGATAATGATTTTATTTTCCCTGGTTTTATCATATCCACACCAAGAAATAAGATAGAAAAACACTGTTTCTTCAATTACTACATTCATTGTTTGAGAGATTGAAAAAAGTATGGATAATCCAAGATCTCTGCAAGCAATATAGAAACTCTTGAAGGACAATTGTACATGTCCTGTATGTCTGATGCAAGCAGAAATTTCTATTGGCAAATACTGCTTTGGTAAGGCTTTTCAAGACCTTGTTGCCTGTGTGTGTGTTTGTGTGTGTGTGTGTGTGTGTGTGTGCGCACACACACGCACATTTGCTTGATGTTTTGCTTTAATTTCTTTCTAATGGAGCCTATTTTCCTTCAGGGTGGCAGGACACAGTGTATCCAAGAAGTCTGCCCCATTCTCTCATGTCCCCAGCACCTCAGTCACATTCCTGCTGGACAGTGCTGCCCCAAATGCTTAGGTGAGTGTTTTTTCCCCTAGGAATTTTGTAATTAATACAATATGTTTGTGCATAACGTATTTTAGACCAGTATTTCACAGTACTGGTAAATTCCAGGAGCTGAAAGAGACTCTATTGCTCAGAGTTTATAATCCACAGATTTTGAACAGGTACTCTGAATGGTCAGTGTTAGGGTTGTGCTTAAGCAAGCAGCTGCAGAAGAGCATTTGAACGCAGACCAGTTGCCTTGCTTAAAAGAAAAAATATAGGGATGCTTCCCACCTTCGTCATATATTTTACAAAGGAGGTTGAGGTGGAGAAAATGTTCCTTTGGAGTTTGCCACAAGAAAAAGGCCTCATCATTTCATATTATTACTTGAGTGAGCATTGGCGTTTTTGGTTTTTGAGGAAATGCAGGTCAGAGGAAACTTCTGAACTGACATTGCATTTATAGAAACTGTTGTCAGAGAGTCCATCTCATGATAGCCTTCTTAAGGTGAACCTTCTTCACACTGTCATCCAGGAATATTTTCAATTACATCTTTCCAACATATTTTAAAGGTGTGAGTCATAGGCCTCTAAGAAGGGCTGGCTCTTCCAGGACATGACAAGCTAGGCAGTGACAAAATAAGGCACTGCCTTGTGCTCTTACTGTGTTCACAGATCCCACAGGTTAACATTCCATCTAGCTCTTAAACAAGGAGCACTTATATCCTACCAAGTAAATTGACTTTAGTTTGGTCTATAACTAGGGTTATAACTAGGTTTGGAAAATTTCAGAGCTAATTACTTCCAGTTCTTCAATGGAAACTTTTTGTAATTTTGACTATATTTTTATCTGAAATCTCTTAACAGGTCTAGGTTAGAGACACAGAGATGTCTGGCCTTGGAGCCAGCAAAGCTATATAGAGTTCCAGGTTCTGGTAATACTTTACACTTTTGACCGCTTGAAACAAACCTGAATTTATTTATTTGCTAATTGAGAAGTGCTTCAAGTAAATAAATGTCGGCCTGGAACATTCAACCACAGTACCAGAGAGTAATGCAGTAGAGGAATGAAATGGAGAAACGCCGAGCTTCTGTTTTGGCTGAGAACATTTTTCCTTTCCTTCTGAAAACTCCCCTTGTCCTGTCCTCCCCATGCTTTTCTGACTGAACTTTCCCCTCCTTGAACAAAGCATTCAAAATGCAGCTTTAATTTTTGACTGCTTCAAGGGAATCTTTCTAAAATTTCTTTTTTCCCTTCTTAGAATGTAAACAAATTCAGTAATAATAATAATAATAATAATAATAATAATAATAATATATGTATTTCCTTTTATGTAGTTTTTGCTCTAAAGCATTTCATATACCTGCAAATAGATTATGTCTATTTACAGGGAAGTGTTAAAAGTTCTGGTGGGGAGGTAAAGCCAAGGGATGAGTAACACACTGCATGGTAGTTGGGAAAGAGAAAAATTTCCAGGGATGTTGAGGCATGGTTTTTAAAGTATCATATGAAGGACCTCCCTGCAATTGAATTCCTGATAGTCAGCAGACATAGCTTAGAAGAACATAGCTGTGGACTCTACTGGGACTTGAATTATTAGTTTAACTAGTGGTTATGAGCCAGCAAAGACAACCATTAAGCCAATATCTTCATCACCACATCTTTTAAAGTGGTGTCTCCTTTGATGGTGGTTTTTAACCAACTATTTGAACTGGGTAGGCCACCCGGGATTGTGCTGAGCAGTTTGCAAGGCATGGCGAGATAGTGTGGGAGAGAACTGGACTTTTGTTCATTTGCTGACACAAGCTCTGCAATTGAAGTCCTGGCCCCACAGTGAGCAGCAGAAGTGTTGTTACAGGCAGGACTGCGGCATGGCTTTGCCCCTAAGTAGTGCATGGATGTGGAGCAGTTCCTTTTAGGACTACTGAGCATCCTCAACTGATTCCTTATGTCAGTCCTGCAGGATAAATAAAACTTTTTGAGAAAGACACACATCCTGTGAAAGAAGGCTGGCTATGCAATCACAGGTTAATTCCAAGTAGCTAATTCGCAGGAGAGGGATGTTTAAATTGTGTCTAACAGAACAAAAATAATTATTTAATAACTTTTGTTTAACATTCAATTTGTAAAAACTGAAGGCAAATCCAAAATCCAAAGGATTTTGCTGTATGCTTATCCTTTTGTTTACTTATATCTGAGAGGAAAATGGAACTTTTTTTTTAAAGAGGCTCTACATTTATCAAGGATTATTGAAAAAGGAAGGAATTACAGTGTGCCAAGACCTGATGGTTTGAAAGCTAAAATATTGGCTTAGTATTTAGCACTTCTAATATGTACTTTGAGTGGGAATTCCCTACCTTGGATTTGATGCCTATTAAACATTAGACGTCAGAAATTATAAGGTAGGAGAGTGACAACCACGCATAAAAGAACTTATTAGTTACCCGCCTCCAACAGTAAACAGGGAAATTCAAAAGTAGGAAAGTAAGTATAGTGTTTTTGTGAAGAGCTCATCTGTATATATTAGAAAAGTCTCTTTTTAAAAATAACTTACTGAGAAAGAAGCTGAGGAATAAGAGAAGCTTACAGGAGTGCAAACTCTATTGTAACGTGGGTCTGAAAGTATTTGCAGGATCACATGACTTCTGGAAGGATTTGATTTTGGTGCTGCCATTTCTGTATAGTGCCCCAAACCTTTGTCTCACTGCCATTAAACCCAAGTAATTTTCAGATTATGGAAACTAAATATCTTGTGTTCATTCTGTTCATAAATGATGCAAATTCCTATATTTCTTGCCGCCTTGCATGAACACATGGTACACCAAGCTATCTTAATGAGACTGGACAACACCTATGATTTTTTTTGGATCAGTGTCACTGAGTTGATTTAGCTTGGCTGCTGTGAACCCCTGAGGCAGATATGCTAAAAGAAGTTTAGACTGCTTTATTTGATAAGTTATTGCTTTAAGTTAAAGACTGTTTAAACTAGTTTAAGTGTACCTATCTTAAGAGTTTGCAGTGCTTACTTTTTATTCCTTTAGCTGCACTGTGCACTTTATGATGAGAAGAAAGATTTTTCCTTTATAAACATGCCATAAATCATTTATATTCCATCCCACAGTAGAACGTGCAGAGATGAATGTGTACCAAAAGAATAGTGAACTGTTAAAAGTACATATTTTTCAGATTGAAATGGAAGCACATAGCAAATTACACGTTGCACGTGAATTTGGTGACAATAAGCCCTACTATTTTTGTTGACAATGTGGCATATTTTCAACCACATTTTGTTTCTGTTACTGTTTATTCATATTCAGGACAGAGGAAAGTGTTTGACCTCCCATTTGGAAGCTGCCTTTTTCACAGCAATGTGTATGATAATGGTTCCTCATTTATCTATGACAACTGCACAGTGTGTACATGCAAGGTAAGTCCATAGTGCTTAGATATTGTATGCTGATGGTTGTCTGGCTTAGCAGTAATTTGTAGGGCTGTGGAATTGTAAGCCTGATACTATTCTTTGGCATCTTGTGTGGTCTCAAAGAATCTGATCTGAAGAGCACTTGCAGTTGTGCTAGGAAAGTTTAAGTCTCAGTTGAGACATGATGCCTGACCCTGTCTGATGCAAAATAAAGTTGCTCAGATTATGTTGTCCTCTTTAAGACTGCATTAGACTGGAAGAGGATTTTCTAAATTATGAATTACCATATCTCTGCTGAAGGTCAGTGTTTTTTATTTAGTTCCCTAACATGACTGCAACATCTTAAACTTTTTTACCAAGGCAAAAAAATAAAAGTGCCACCAAAATCAGTGAGATTTTGCAGGTCAACAGAAGTGCAAGCTAGGCTTTAAATTTATAGACCATGAAAGATTCCCTTTATCTATAAATAATATTTATTTTCTCTGAGCTGACCTGTTCAAAGCACCTGTCCAATGGCTTGGGTGGATGCAATGACTGAGCAAGCAGAAATATATAAGGACACACAGGAGCGCAAACATCTTGGTGATGATTTTATGATTTCCTTTCACCTCTGTACCTAGGATTCAACAGTGATATGTAAGAAGAGATGCTTACTTCCTGGTGAATGCAATAAAAACAAAGACCACTGCTGCAAGGAATGTATCTCATACATCTCTCCTGAGGAGGTGAAAGTATGCAAGTTTGGCAATAAGGTCTTCCAGGTAAGGTTTCACATGTGGCTCAAGGGTAGGTGCCGTTGTAACAGCTAAAAGAGCATGAGTTTGATGTAAATTATTATTGTGACTTGTCTTTAGCAGAATTGTCACCATCCTAGTTGGTGATGGAACAACTCAGAGGCAAATCTTTGCAAAATTTTCCAGTTCTTCATTTTTTTTTCTGAGTTTGCATAAATTCTGCTGATAGTCAACAGTTAAAGTTTAGTTCCCTCTTGAATGTTACATGTTGTCTGCCCCTCTGTATGTAGATGTTCAAGCTGCCGTTTCATGACAACAGATTCATTTTTAGTAAGAGATACTAATGCTCTGCTTTCTAAAACAAACACTGATACTCATGGTGGAGATATTCTGAGTGGTATGTAGGCTTTATCTGCCGAGCCAGAGTCTTTTCCGTAACTGAGCCAACAAGAGCTTTGTGAAGTTCGTTTTGGCTGAAAGTTACTTGATTTACTACATTTCACGTCTCTGCTAAGGACAGCACCTTTGACATCTTATACTGGGATAGCCATGTAATAACTGTTACCTACTGCACTCTCACCCTATGTATTAAAATCACAAGGGATTCCCTGCAGAATGCTTCTGCTGTTTCTGAGACCCCATTTGTTTTTCCAAGTGGTGCAGCTTTTTTTCACACTGTGTCAGAAAAAGATTCTGTCACCTCATGGGCCATCTGTGAATTAAGAGACCCTTGAATCAGATCAAATGTTAAGTCCTGTGTGAGTACTTGGTTTGCTCAGCCAGAATTGCTTCCCATTTATTCCATCTTTTGTGTACATAGCAGAAGTGTTTATTCTGGAAATTACTTGTGAACCTACTGTATGCTGAGACTATGCTCCATCTGATTGGCACTTTCACACTGGCACCATTGTGCTTCAGGAACAAATGCCTACTTCTTAGGCACCCAACTAAAATATTCTGCTTCTTGTGAAGATTTTATTAGATATTACTAGTATTATATGGAGTGTGAAAAAATAACGAGACAGTACATCCATTTCTGGCCTTGTGTGCAAAAAAGTAAATTCAATATTTCTCTATGAAGTCAATGGTCTAACACAGAATGGGCACAGCAAATGTGTTTTTGCACTCCTGTGCAAAACCAGCTGTAAGACAGAAATTCAGGGCAGCTGCATGCAGTCAGCTGTGATGTATTCTGGTATCTTGGCAGATGCCTGGTGAGTGGTCATTAGAGACCGAAGAACATCAGAAACTCCAGGCAATAGAAACATGCCCTAGAAACAAAAAATAGGAGAGAGACAGCCTTTGATGAAGCAAGCTGAGCTGAATAAGTTAGTCTCCTTGGCATTTCAGATACAGTCTGTTTCTGTTTCTGGTCAGAACATCATGTTGAGGTGGGCACATAATTATTCACAGCTGTCTGGTTGAACTGCCTGTTCCTGTCAGGTCTATCCTCACCCTTCCTTCCCAGCAGCCCTGTAAACAGAAAACATGCACACTTTGGCTCTAAGCGGACTAGCATAAGACTGTAAGTGGGTGAGACAGAATGTTTTAGGAACCATGCTTGGCAGATACAACACTGTGTAAAAAGGAGCCAGGGCAATTCCACAAGCAATTCATCCCAAGTGGGGACAAGACCACAAGGCATATTATGCTCTACACTTCATATTTTCAGAGCTATACATAGGCTGTCTTACCTTCTCTGCTTTTGAGAGATTCAATACCGTATCTCTTCTAAATATTTTCAGATGTTTAGCAGATCACATATCCATGAAAGTGCCGTAGTAATCTAAATTAGAATTATTTGACCATTCCTGCCCTATGTTGAAAAGATGCTACATATGGGAATAAATTCACTGTCTGCTGACATCTTAATCAAATATTTTCATGTGCAACAACTTAAAGATGTCACTCAACCCACAGAATCAGGTTTTTCTGGTTATGTGAACTGAAATGAAAATTTGTGGTAGGTGTGATCACAACTCAGATGCTTATTGGATAGAAAACAATGCAAATAATCAGGACACTGTTGAAAAATGCAAATGTGATTTGGTTAGCTTTGGAAAAATGAATTTCTTACCAACAAGGCCGAAGGGAAGAAAACCTGGCTGAATTTGATCTCTGTCTTGAATCCAACTGGCCATGGACAGACACCTCAAAATAATTTAGACTAAACAATGACACAGTGCCAACAGGGAAATTCATCCTTTCTTGTGCAATGATACATTGCTGAAATAGCTTTTTGTTGCCACCCCAGCTGATACTATATCATGTTCCCTCTTGCAGGATGGAGAGATGTGGTCCTCTGTGAACTGCACCATCTGTGCTTGTGTGAAAGGCAAGACAGAGTGTCGCAAGAAACAATGCATTCCAGTCAGCAGCTGTCCTCATGTGAGTTTTTTAAAAGAACTGAGATTTCTTCATTTTTCTGCTCCACCATTATCTTTTCCAGTGTTTCTTGGAAGTGTGTGCATGACAGTGGGACATGCTGTTTGGAAAGAAGGGATCATTTGGAATGTTAATTTTGGTTGGCATTCCCCAAATGTGCTACTGCTATCCTGAGTATGGTCTTCCTGCCTCTGTCCTTGCTCTGATGACTCTGTGCTCCACCTCTTCTCCTTTAACTTTCTCTGTCCCAAGTATCTGCATTGGCACACTTATTTTTGACTTTTATTTAATAGTTTTATAGAGTGGTGAGGTGGCTATGTTAATATTTCAGTAGTGTGTATATTGCTAAGGCACGCCACAGCAGATTGTTGTACTTGCATTTTTCAGTGCATATGAGGCTTAATACTTGGTTGAAAATGTAAATTAGACAAATCTAAGAAAATCAGATCAACCAAGCCATGCTGCCTTCACTAAGGTTGTGGCCTGGGTATTTTTTATTTGAAACTCTAAAGTGAACCCAAAGAATGCTGTAATTGTAACTTAATGGCATCAAAAAATAGCTTTGCTTGAAACCCTGAGCTAAAATCAGCCTTTGTTTCTTGGATTTCTCACACTGATAAATGATTTTGGTCTTATGGCTCAAGGTTTCACAAGATGGAGCTCTAAATAGCACCTCATGTAGGGGCAGATCTGTGAGCAAAACTGTAGAAGAGAGACCCAAGTTGTTAGCATTACACCTTCCCAGTGTTTCCTTCTCAATCCTGGAAGCCAGTGGGGGAAATGTGAGTCACAGACACCCAGATATAAATTTTTTAAATGAAAAACTCTCAGTTTGTAAAATTTTTTATGTGTAAACTTTTGAGAGAAGTGGTGGTAGAATAAAGAGCCTGCACCTTGGTTCTCCCCATTCTGATGTGACAGAGGGCTTCAAGATCCTCAGAAGAGGGAGAATCCTTTTCCTGTCCCTCTGGCACTCACTGCAGAGAGCAGTTCTCCTCTTAATGGGCCTCACATGAGATGCTGCATGCGTGGATGACGCATGCAAATGGAGCTATTCTTCTGGGAATGTTATATGTATGGCTCATGGCAGTCAGGTTTGCTACCTTCATGCCATTCACAGTATAAGCAGGAGGTGAGAGCTTGGGCTTTTTAGGTCTTGCACACACTGCATTGCATTTTTATTTTTCTTGTGCTGATGCATTTTAAACATTTAAGGCGCTTCTGAGATCAAGTAGCTAAAATGACTTAACAGAGATCTTCAGTGTAGCACATCAGTTCAGCTGTATCCATATATAAATTTGTGCATTGAGATGATCAGTTGAAGTGGTTTCTAAAATAAAAATAGTGGTGGGTAAAAATTCACCACGGACAGTGCTGCAACACATAAGTGAGACTGACAAACTCATTCAAAGCTGCTACAGAACCTGCTCCAAGGCTAATGTGAAGTCCTAAACTCCCCTTGACCTCTGAGGTGAGTCTGCAAACAAGCTGAATGAAAACAAGGTCTGGTTCCTTTGGTCTAGAAAGACCATTTTTGTTACCCTGTAGCACCTTCCCCTCCAGTATATAATCAGTCAGCCAGATCCCCACCTTAAAATGCAAGTTGCAATCAAACCCACCCTCCTCTACAGGTACACATTACATTTCTGCTGTTCCAAGATAAACTGGAAGGAGAAGTAGGAGAAAGAATGTAAACTCTAGAGTAAGATTTATTTTCCTATTCCAAATGGGTACCAAGTAGTTTTAAAGCAAATAATGTATGCTAATTGATTTAAATCTTTTACTTTTCATCTCTGCTCCACTATCTTTGATGAGACTTTCTGTCAGAAATCTGTAAACATCACTTAAACACACCACATTTTTCAAGATAAAGATATATTAGTGGTTCTGATACTGACAGCCTGAATATCACACCTAGAGTTATGCTGCTGTCTCTGCAAACTGTAGATGCGTCCATTCCTTTTCTCTCTTCACAATATTTTTGACAGTAAGCAGTCCCCAACTGACTGTTGAAGACTGCTGTGGAATAAAATGTGGTTTCATATTCCTTAGGTGTCAGGCAACATAAAGTTATCTCATTAAATGTGTATTATTATAGAGACAACTGAGTGTGAAAGGATTGAAGATTCACAAAGAATTTAGAATATTATTCCTTGACTTAAATGCTTTACCATGCAGTCTTAATACTCTTTGCATACTGTGCATGGCTTTTTTTTGGGCTATTTTATTTTATTTTATTTTACTTATCATAATAAATTTTGGCCAATTATTTCTTGAAAGTATGGGTTTCAAAGTGGTAATTCTGCAGAAATTTCCAATACTGCACAACCATTTGTTTTATTCAATCTACTGGTTGCAGGCTGACATATTTTTTAAGACTGTTTCAGCCATTTCTTTAGTTTTCTTCATAGAGGTAGACACAAGTTTCTGTTGCTTTTGTTCTTTTATTTTTGGAGCATTTAATCCCATATCAGCAATTGCAGGAAATGTCTTTCATAGATTCTTTTCATCTGCTGCAGATCCAATACATTTTTCAAATTCAGTCCCTCCTGTCACATTTATAGTAGGATTGGTCCTCCTTGGCATTCTAGTGAGCCTTGTGGCTTGTGGTTCCTATTTCTTGCTTTCTGATCACTGACTCCACACAGATATTGCCTCTCTCAAGTTACCTGGAGTGTCAGCCTGCAAGGTGTGGTGCATATTGGCCCCCACTCAACAAAGCTATTACACATGTGTCTAGTTGTGCTGAAGTTAGTAGGCTCTCCGTGTGTGCTGAAACTTAAACACATGCTTAAATACTTTACAGAAAGGGAGCAATCTCAACATTTGGAAACACTGTTTCAGAGATCCTTTAGACTTCTTACTGAATTTGCTGTTTACTTGCCCTAGCTCTGCTCTAGCTGTTCCTTTGCCTTGTGCCATCTCCTTTCTGATTACCTATCCTTATAATTTATCACCTTGCCCCTTATTATGCCTTTGAATTCCTCACTAACATCTTAAGTCTGTGGTAATGATCAGTGGCCATGAACATGCTTCTTTTTGTACTGCTAGAGAAGAGCTTGGTGAATTTTACAGCATATAACCTTTTCTGAGCTCCAAGGCTGTGCAAAAGTTAATACAGTTAAATTCACAGCAGGTGAAGACATTTGCAGAGTTTGATTCTGTGGGTAAATTTTGAACCCGTGAACTTCAAGTGAGCTGAAAATTTATTCAGAACACGTTCTCCCATCTCTAGCACAGACTGCATATAATGTTATACACATCTGTTATTATTACAAACAAAAAGTTGCTGTTTTTACTCTAGTGCCAAATGAAGCACAAAAAAACAACAGCTGTTGCTATTGCACAACCAAACAACCTCTTTTCCCCAGCAATTAGTCTTGCCTTAAAAAAAAAAATAGAAAATAGAAACCTCAGACACAAAATTGAAAACTCCATAAAAAGGAAGAAAAATCCCTGAAAACAAATAGACTCAAATGTGGTCTGCTTATAAATATTCATAGGGAAAAATGGGATCACATCACTTATCCCACTCCTAAGGGAACCCTCAATGCTAACGAACTCTTGCAGCACATGTTAGCAATAATGGGTTTCCTTATTCTACAAGACAAAAACAGGATCTCAGGCCAACATGGTGGCTCAAGTAACCAGCCTCAGCAGGCTGCCTTGGAGATTCCAATTTCACTTGAATTCTTGCCACTTCCAGCTCGGCTGATGATTTCAACTCTTTTATTGAAACAGAGAGGTAAGGCTATGCAGTGCAGTGTGTGGCATTCAGCTGCATGTTTCTGTTCCTACAAATATGTGTTGCTAAGCTCCCTATTTCTGTGTGGTTTTAAGGGTTTCTCCTTTAAGGGGTTCTGTTCTAGCAGGTGCTTGATAAGCCTACTGTTGCAGCCTGGTCCTCAGCTTTTCTCTTTGCTGGGACCTGGGAACCACACAAACATTTAAGTGCCTCTCATTCTGCCACTGCAACTCTGATCCCTTTTCTTAAGTCCAGATGTGTCTCACGTGTGTTCACATGAATTTGCATATTCAAAGACAAGCCTACACTGAACTGGGCTGTGTGGGTATTGTGCCCAAGTGCATTCATGACCAAGGATTTGTTCATGCCATGTGTCTACATCAAGCAAGAGCAGGATGGAACATGCTCCACTCCAGTTTTCTAGCAGATACTTGGAGTTCATGCCTCCCCATGCACATTTTCAAAGCTTGGCAGCACTGTAGGCAAAAAGCAAGGCTGACAGCAATAGGGGGCTGCCTTTGCCCACTTCCCCACTCTTTGCATAGACCTGTCACCAATTTTTTGTCTGTTTTCACAAGTTTTTTATATGTTTAGGGGGCAGGATAGCACAGCTCCATTTGCTCACTCTTGCTGTCCTCACCTTGCTTACCTACTTGGTGGGAATAGGAGCAGTAGTCACACAGAGTGGACTTCCTCTCCATATAGCTCTCACTACCTGTGTGGGAATATGGGTGAGCTTCAGTATCACTGTAAGTTCTTTTATAACCAACATCAGTTTTTGCTTGGAAAAATACAATTTTTTCAGGCTTCTCTGCTAGCTTGCTGGTTAACTTGAGATAATTTAGTTCCTTCCTTCCTGCCTGCCTGCCTGCCTGCCTTCCTGCCTCCCTCCATGCCCCCCTCCCCTCCCCT